TAATAGCAAATTTTGTAAGATAGAAAGGCTGTGATTTATTTTTGACTTTTTTGGAATAGTTTTCAGAAAACATAAAATGACAAGAACACATACAAATATCGGAGTTATTCATTGAACTACAGACTCTTAGCCTAGGAAGGGACTTTCGAAGTACTCCAGCCCACCTCCCCTCTGAAAGCAGGAGTCACTTTTCAAATGTCCCTCAGGTATTTAACTAGCCTCCTCAAATCTTTTCCAAGTTTGAAGCACTTCATCTCATAAAAATAACACAAACAACTTTTAATCATTTAAAACAAAAGAAAGAATAAAACAAGGGGAGGCAGGTCTCTCATGCCATGTACTTGTTAAAGAAAGGTCACATCCTTGAAGCAGCTTTGCAATATGCAGAGCACAGTACTGGCTTCAGAAAAATAAACAGATTCTGTGTATTTAAATTACAAAGAGCTGCTTTCATCCTCCTCTATAAAAACTAGCAAAATATATTCATTCAAGTACATTAATTGTACTTCATATAGTTTTACACTTGGGATGAAGCTGAAACAAGAAAAATACAGAACAAAAAACCCAGCCAACACAGACTCGTTTAAAAAAAAAACCATAGTAAAATATTAATTATTGTGAGATGTGATCAAATGAAAATTAATTCTGCATAACAACATAAAGGAGTTCTATTATTTACTGAAATTTTCCACTATAAGAAGAGCTTGATTAAAATAAAGAAATACATAAAATTGGAACAGTAAGTAAGTAAATGTGATTATTTAGTTCATTTCAGAAGGTCTCCTGGTCCAGCTGCTAAGCACACCAGTCTCTGGGTTTTCAGCGAAGTGTTACCAACTCTTCTGAAGAGGTAGGGTGAATGGCAACGGTGTTGTCAAAGTCGGCCTTAGTTGCTCCCATTTTTACCGCAACAGCAAAACCCTGCAGCATTTCATCACAACCAATTCCTTGCATATGGATCCCAACCACCTGGAAAAACAATTTTTTTTTAAAGTGAAATTTTGTATTAGGTGCACAGTCATGAGCAGCACCTGGTATTTTAAAAACCTGACAACATTTCTAATCCCAGCACGAAGTAACACGACCTAGAAGGTCCCGGGCAGTCCCACCTCCCTGTCCAGTCTCCAGCCCATCTCACGTAGCTCTTCCTCAGGCTTTCCTTGCTCTGGCCTCGCAGACTTTCCCTCTTTCCCAAACACTCACCATGGTCCTTCCTTTGCACAAACTGCTCCCTCTATGTGGACAATCTTTCCTCCTCTCGTAGTTAATAGTTAAAGCCTATTTATTCTTCACATAGCTACATAGTTGTGCCCTCCTGACCAAGTTAAATTCCTCTACGTCACGATCTCTCAGTACTAATCTTCTCCTTCATGGTTCTATCACAGTTACAACTTTTTATTTATTTGTGTGACTGAACAATTACAGCCCACCTCTCCTGGCAGACTTTAATCTCTAGAGAATGGGACCCTGCGGTTGTTTGCTCAATGTTCTGTCTCCGCGGCCCAGCAAAGATCAGCATTTAGGAGGTCTCAGTCCATACATGCTGGATGACTACATGAATGATCGCCAAGAGGCGTCTTTTTCAGTCTCATTCTCCAGCGAGGTTGCTCAACACATCTTAGCACTATTAGTTAATGTCCACTTTCAGCAAATACATTCAAGGCAAATATTCCACTGAAAAGCAAAATTAGAGAACACAAAGTGTAGCTACAAAAATAATTTGTTTAAAAACAAACCAACTACATCTCAATTTAAAACACAAACAAAAACTCAGATCAAGTATTACAAATGCATTAAACAGAGCCAGAATCTTACTTGCTGTGATCTAAGTTGAACTTACACAGAGCCTCTGGTAATGGCAGGGGCATACCCCAACTGTTCGTCTTTAGAGACTACCAGACAA